GACAAACCGAATGTATATGGTAGATCCTCTGCATTTTCTGGTTACAAATTATACTTCTTGAAGTCCCAATTCACATTTTTACTCTCCAGATTTTTTTTTTGTAAATCATGTATTCGAATGAGTTAGAAAGAACTAAGCTTATATGTTTGCAATGTTTGTCGTCAAAATTGCATACTTTTGGCTCATTTGCTCACCATTGAGTGCCAAAGTGACAAGCCAATATATCGGCGTTCATTTTTGTCTCTGGAGAGATATTCAAGTAGCCAGTCGTTGTGGGCCGAGGGCAGAGCACAAATGCTATCTGTGTTGCGATGTGAATCGCTCAGTTAATGTTAATCAAAAGGGTAAAAAACGAAGGTAAATACTTATTAACGGTATAGCACATGAACCATTTTGCTTAGTTCGTGATTTTGGGAGGTAAAAAATATTAAAAACTGTCTTCATCAAACAACAGAAAGAGCAGAATACTGGTAATAGTGGAACACCTTCTTTAATTCTACTTGGCCAAAAGAACTAGTTCAGCATAATTTGGACATTGTTGCTATTATATCTTTGTAACTATATTTATCTCATAAGAAGATAATACTAAATTGATATAGCCCTTTTGCGGCCTACTGATCTTCTTCGTTAGAATCCCTTGGCAATAAAATGAGAAAATTAAAATTACTATAGGTATGTAACGTAAAAGCAAAGACCTTTAAGAAGAACTTCTCGATACAAAGTTGCTGTAGATAATATTCAAAGTTAAAGTTTCAGTTGGACCATCCATCAAAAAACAGAAGAATCTAATATGGGCAATTCGTGGCGAAAACGAAAAGCTGTGGCGTGCATAGGTTTAATGAATGTTATGCTTCTATGCTACCGATTGAGGATAAGACACGCATATTATTCAATTAATGTTGTAATGAGGTGTCATATAGCTTTCTTCATATCCCGCAAAGTATTTTCAATATCAAACACTGATACGTTTTCATAATAGGGGAGGCTAAACAAACTTACTCTGTGGCTTCGTAGGAAAGCATGTTTGGTCCTATATCTATGTACTGTACTTTTTACCCAACAAATATTGGTATGCCTTTCTGAAACACTCTGAATATGAAGCTGTTACCATAGCCTCAGATCAACCCTGATATAAAACTACAATCATTTCTCTGGCCGAATAAGAGCTCACATTGTAGTCAGACTGTACTTCAGCTTCCCTTGTAACTCTCGGAGCGTTGCTGTGGTGTGGTATTTTCTGCAGATTTTATGTATCCTGTACTTTATGTATCCTTACCCAGGAAGAGAAGATATTTTCGTATGATTTCCTTTTCCAGGAAACCAACTTCCCACAGTTCCGTCTGTGCCAGGGGGAGCAATAGGTTCTTTAATATTGCTATTTGTATACTTTTCAGTATATGTCGTATGTTTTTTGATCCCAGCGACCGGGATGCGAGGGGAGACCAGATCACGGATTTAATGCATGGATTTTTCCCTCGAGGATATATCTTTTTCTGCATCACTATCGTCTAATGTTTCACGTCGATAGACAGCGGTTTTTCTGATACTAAGCTTGATCGCAAAGAGTAAACGCTCCTCCAATGAGAAAACGTTTTTAAATTCTTACTAATTTTTTAGATTAGTAATTTGTTCGAGCATGCTATTCATGCTTTCATATTCTTGTCACCCTCTTCCAACTTCTACGATGGCAGAGCCACCAAATTACCAGTATAACAAACCTATAACTCAATGGAAGATATAGGGCCAATTTCACCAACAACAGTCCGTTATTCTCCACCTATAGGGTAACAGCCCGTCAAATACAGCGAATGAGCTTCAAGTTCCAATCAATAAATTTTAGCAACCAATAGCTATGAAATGTTGAAAACAAAATACTGTCAAAGTATGAGATGACATCTTGTCATTGAAACATCATCAGCTTATTGAATACTAAGATATTACATATAAGTCAGTCAAAATTTAAACACATGTTTGATTTTTGAAAAGAATTCATGATTTAATTACTATTGTTGATTTTTATTCATGTTTATATTATTTTCTTCAATTGATATGCAATTTTACTGATTCCAAAATCATCTACTGGGTGTTTTTTCCTATAAACCTCTTGCAGATAGCCATTAAGCACCTACTTGATTACTGGCTCTACCAAAAATTTCATAGATATTGCTCGTTTCCAAACATTCATTCATTTACTTGCCGTTCATCAGAACCATTATGGCACCTTAGATTGATATTCCCACAAAACCATTCTGGTTTTTTAATATCCGTACATCCATAAAGTTGAATATTGTCCGTTGTTCAGGAACTTAACCAACATCCACACTATATTCACAGCGATTAAGAAATACCCAAATATATGTCGTAGAGCTACCAGCAAACCTAAAACCTACAGAAAAACTAGAAATTTGCAATATCTTTGTTTTTTCACTGAGTACATATTCTGGGTTATATTTATATTATGCCTGCTTAGATATTAAAATACGGCCAGGAATTATTAGTGCCTGGCTATTTTAGGCCTTCAATAACTCCTTATTTTAGATCTCTACTTATTTTGTTTTTTCCTCGCATTCATGGTAGAAAGAAAAATATGTTATCGAATATCGATACCGTATACCGTGCAGCAGGCACGCCCATCACTACTTTGACAGATTGCAGAATGATGTCAAGGTGACAATCGTTATGTGGCAGTTGTTTTTGTTTTTGTCTGAAATAGGTAAGTAGGCTTTGTGTATTCATTTTTAGTTTTATAGCGTTTCCAGAATTTCATATTTCGAAACAATGTCAAGAGCCGGCAGGGGAAAATCTTTCTCTGAGAACTGAAAATCATTAAACGCGCTGTTTTGAGTCTATTTTGTTCTATCTCTTGGGGAAGTACAGAATGAAGAAAAGACTACAGTGCTCAGTGGTCATTCAGTGGCTCAGTGCTCGTCTGTAGTGATAATATTCAAATACTACTAAAGACCTAAATAGCTTTCTGGCCTTTCAATGTCGAAGCTACCAGTCCTCGCTTAGAGATGGTAGCACAGTTAAAGATAGACTCGGGGTATACGGTTACGGATGTTTATGATTCCTCTCGATATCGATATATCGTCATGAAACCATCGATGCGTGAAGACCGATGTTCTAAGTCCGATGTATCGATGTTTTCGATACATCAATATATCGTCTATCGTCGCCATCAATATATTGCATCCTCACCAGTCACCAGTCAAAAACCTTAACGACCAATATTTCATCACTATTTATAATTCTTTTTAGCTCTTATTTTTCAGTAATTACTAATAATTTTAGGTCTATGTCTACAGTAATTGCATTATGCACCTCGGAGATGTAGGGATTAACATGTTTTACACATATCGGTGTTTTAGGATAGGGACGACCATACTGTTTTCATTGCTTTGAAGAAATTCATTACTACTATTATGATGTAAAGAGAGATGAGGAATTAGTTGGTATACATTTTATATTCGATTTTATTGCAAATCCGCACAATTCAACAGGTATGTGTAGCTATAATGATCACATACACAGTATATTGAACTTAACAAATTTCGAGATTGCCATGAATTAACAGACGACCAAACCTGCTGCCAAATTTGACAGCTAGAAAATCGACCTATTATTTCTCCCATTCCCATTCGCTGAGGGGATAACGGATGGTCAAATGTACACCTATAACATAAATCAAAATACATGAAAGTTGTACTGTTTTCTCTGTACAAAAGCATCATGTTGGAATCAAAAAGTGGTCTTGTTTATAATACAGTCGAATTTTCGCGATTTTATTCAACATTTTAATAGAAATCACTGATATTCTGAGACCTTTGACAGCTTCCGTCAAATTGCATTTCGATAAGGTATTTCCCTATTGGTCCATAATATTAATGTTGGTGAAATCGGCCCATAGTGAACCAAATGTTACTAATGAAACCACATGATAACCAGCACCAACTGAGAGTATTTCTCAATCCTGTTTTATATTCCTAAAATTGTCTCCGTTGGCCTCGCCATCCTAAAACATTCACAGCCTTTAGTCAACCACCAATGTAGAAGGAAGTAGCGTAACCTATCGCAAGCTATTGCTACCGCAGTGTGTCGAAGTTGTGTATGGAGGTCTTGCTGTGCTTATATTCATATGTACACCATGTAACGTCCAGATCAGCGGAATGGTGGCATGTAAGCTGGCCACCCGCTACTCTCTGGCATCTTGTTACTCGATTTTAGCTGGCAGCAAAGTGACTTTCTGCGGTTCACACACCAGGTGAATTTAAAAAGTATATGATTTCTGTAATACACTTCCATTTTTTGTGATATAAGCGCCTTTTATTCTTAAGCAACCCCCTGTAACTCATATTCTGCATCTTTGCAGAATATGTGATGATGTAAAACAGTCGCTGGATTGGACACTTTATATTCTGGACTTTAAAAATGTTACGAAGAACATTGTCTTTACAAAAATTGGAGTAAAATGAAAGTATTTGTTTACAGCTATATTACCTCATCTGCCATAATAATACTGTACGCACTTAGATATCAAAACAATTGTATTTTGGATGTTCACTTGATTAAAGGTTCTTGAACCTGACTCGAGAATCTTCAATATTTTTTAGGATGATACACCAAGCTTTGGTAAGTCAGCCATCATAGATTTTTTAGATGTCTGTGAACGTATGTACCACGTGACCTCAATTAATGTTCGACTTTACGTAGAAAATAACATGGACCTGGAACAAGTTATTTTGCGGAATCAACGGAAGGCAGAGTTATATTGAAGTTTCATTACATTTTTGTATTACACAGAAATCCAAGCCCTGCCCTAGAGAGAGCTAGGACAATAAATAGAAAAGCAGGGGAAGTTAACGTTGCGGCGAAGATATGTAACATTTCCTTTTTTGCCTTCTTTGTTCCCAATAAGAGGGAACGAAGATATTATTTTGATAGCTTCAGGAAGCTTCATGCTTTTGATATATTTATAAACAGAATCAATACCTCTATCTTTTTTATAGTCTAATACCATATAGGTACAGATTCAGTACATTACCTGATGTCCAGAGAATGCTATTTACCTGAAACAGAAAACATAAAATCAATGATTTTTTCCTAGACACGTAAATATTTGAAAGTAGCCAGGGTCGGTTGTTCACAAACAAGTGATTCTTCTTGATAACACATATATAAGTCCGTAATTTTAATAATCAATCACTGAACATTTGGATATTTTCTCTCGACTTTTTGATGATTTGTTCATGACATAGAACTCAGTAAAGAACTACAATAATGATCATGCCTTTATTGAGCTTGGATAGATATTAAATGCAACACGTTTTTTGAATAAATTTCGAAGATTCATTACAGGTTCATCCAGTTCAATAAGTGACGACAATGAATATGGAATTACTATCGAATAATGTTTTTATTTGTATTACAATGATTCCACTATGCGTCTAAGTGAAAGCAAAGCTGCAAAAGAGCCAAGTATTAGCCATTTTAGCGGGATCAAAATAACTATAAATCTAAAAAGACTCTGAAGTAAACATGGATTTTAAGCAAATCTGCAACTTGAAAAATGAGAGGTCTTGTTTCAAGAGTCACCCTATGTTTTCGACTACGTAATTTGAAGTGGTACACCGCACGAAAATATCATGGAGAGATGGAGGAAAAATTTCAAGAAGTTATTAGGAGGAGAAGAATTTTCTTGTGGAAAATGGCGTGAAGGATGAGTTAATACAAAGGATTAGGAAATTAGGCCAATTAGTCAAGTTGTAACAGAGCCTATCACTGGGGAAGAATTACAAAATGATGGAAGAAAACTAGAGAAGCCCCGGGATACGACGGAATAACGGCAGATATGGTAAAGTATATGGGAGACATAGAGTAAAAAAAATATTGAAAGATTATAAAGAAATGCAGATACAGAAGTATGTGAGATCTACAGAGGCATTTCTCTGTTAACTATAAACTAAAGGGAAACATAGAACACAACTTAGACAAAGTACAAGATGGATTCAGAAAAAAGAGAGGAACGACGGATGCAATATTCATGATAAAGCAACTCATAGAAGGAGTAGCAGACGATAACAAAACAATATATCTATGTTTCATGGATATGTCCAAAGCATTCCATTCAGTGGATAAAATGGACATTTGGAGTATTCTGAAGAACTATAATGGGAACAAAAAATAAATATAAAACATACAAAGCCTATATAAGATTCCGACAACTATGTAAGAACAAAAAATTCTAAATCTGAAAAATTTACATCTACATCAGGAGTGACACAAGGATGAACGTTGATCCCATATCTGTTCACAGTATTAATGGATTAGAAAATGCGGACATAGACTCAATGAAACAACGTGGGGATACAGTAGAGAAGACCAATATCAACCAATTGGTGTTCGCAGATATACCACTGTTAGCAAATAAAAAAGGCCTACAGGATCACCCTGACATATGGAATGAGAAACTCAGAAAATATAAACTGAAAATAAATTTGACCAAAACAGAATGTATGAGTATTTCCAAAGACCTACAAAATATTTAAAATTGATTAGAACGACAAACAATACAACGAAAAACACAGTTCAATTATTTGGGAATAGTGGTAACAGAGGATGGAAACGTTGAGACAGAAAAGGAAGATAGAATAAAAGCAACTACAAGATTATACTTTCAACTAAATAAACACCTATTTAATAAACCAAAAAAAATATCTACAAAAACAAAAATAAGGATGTTCAGCTGTTTGTCGACCCCGTAGTTTTTCTTTTATATTCCAACTACCACGAAGGCTTAAGGCCTAAACACCCATTGGGTACCGTGGGGCTATAGGAGGATACAGGGGAAAGCGGGAATGCCACACGGACTGTGGCGAGGGAACACGTGTGCATGCGACATGCACACATTCTGGCTCCACCTACGAGATCCGCCGGGTGGTACCTCCACGTTCGACAGTCAGAGACCGTCTACCACCTAGGGACAATCATAACATCCATAGCCAAGAGAAAAATGTCTCCTGGGACGGGACTCGAACCCGCACAGCGCACGGCGACTGATCAGGAGACCTAAATATTGCAAAACGCTATATATATTTCAACCCTATGTTGCAGACATATTTATATTTAGTAAAATATAGAGCCAGTAGGTTCTCAGGCAAGTGAAATGAAACTGCTAAGAAGAATTGCGGGTCTGAAGATTACGGAAAAAGAATTCAAATATAAAAATAAGAAGATCAGGTGAAGGCTTCGTGTCTGTATAAAAAAGAATACAGAAGGCGCGTTGAGGAGGTTTGGATACAAGTCAAATACAAGATAGACGAAGAGGGTATGGATAATGGGAAATTGAAACAAAGTTGAAAGGAAGACCAAAAAGGAAGTGGAATGACGAAATACAGGGGTACTTAAGACAAATTCATTTGGACTAATAAGCAACATTAGCTTAAAGCAGATCAAAATGGAGAAAGAAAATAAGACGGCTAAAGAAGCGTAGAAAGCTATCAACCTCTACACTGGCTAGATCTGGTAGAAGAGGAACGAATTAAGTAAGTAATTTAAATTGGTTAGATGTATGGAAAATGATGAAAGATCGATTTTTTTAATCAAAAGTTGACCACTAATTTTTTTTTTCATGCAAATAAGCCGGTACAATCTTTCAAAAAAACGTAAAGAGCACGCATACTTAAGCTATTTATTTTTCGGTTATAACTGCCTCATATAAACCGATATGCAAATCCTAAAACTTTCTTCACTTGGCATAGTGATGCTACTGTTGACTCTGTACTTCCCACGCAAAGCTGTCATCAGTTCTTAACGAATTATGTTTGGCACAAGTAAGCCCTTTTGAGAAAAGAGTTAGCTACTAAAATGTATAACAGACCTCCCTCCATCTCCTGAGAGAACTCTTCCTGCAGGAGTACATGCTCTTTGCGATGACTATTCCCACGTGAATGACGATATTGGCCTTCACCATGCACAGTGCACACAGGCCACCGCACAGACGTGCGGAAGCGATTGTTGACTTTGAGGAACCACGCCGCACGTATCGACATGTGAGTGTTTGATATATTTCTGATGATGAGTGAAATATGTCGGATAGGTGAGTAGAATTACTGGGGTTGAAGGCCCCTGCAACCTCCAGTTTTTAACCGCTTTTTTTCGTAAATCATCAGGAGCCTGTGAAACGTCAAACAACAAAGTCTGAGCGATTTCTTTTTCGTTTCTTGCACCTCGGTGCATCGCCATTGCGTTAGTTTTCATAAAGTACAGAGCTCTTTTATTTTTGGTGTAGTAGTCACATTGTGAGAAAGTATCATCAAAATCAGAGCGGTACTTGCCAAGTTGTAGAGGGGCCTAGGATCAGCGGACAGACAGACAGACCGACGAAAATGAGTGACCTGGTTTTTCGTTATCTTCATGTCATACAACATCCAAAAAGCATAGCATCTCAATATTGATATTCTGTTTGAAATCCTTTCTTGTCAGTAGGCGTGGGAAATAAAACTAATACATGCCGAGAGGCATCAGTCGGCATGCGCTGCGCGGGTTCGAATCCCGTCAAAAAAGAAATTATCTTCTTGGCTATGGATATTGTGATTGTCCGTAGGTGGTAGACGGTCTTTGACTTTCGTGCGCGGAGGTACCACCCGGCGGATCTCGTAGGCTGGTCCACACGCTAGAGTCCTCCCCCCGCTTCTCCTGTATCCCCCTATAGCTTCACGGTACCCCATGTGTGACTTGTTGGAGCAAGATGTGCCGCCCCTGGATTAATACCTATATCTAATTTACTAGATAATGACACGTTTTCTGATTTGTGTGTCGCTAATTGATTATAATATGAGTTCAGATTGATCTGCTAAGCATGCCAGTTGGCGAGAAGTACTACAATCATGAAATATTTCGAAATCCGGATATGATTTTTTGATGGCAGTCGTTAGTCATATAATTATTGGCTTCTATACAACTGTATTCAGATTTTCAATCCAAGAAAAAAAATCTACATACTTCGTTTTTTGGTGATCTAAACTTACACTTGCAGCAGCGTTGATGACCACGGAATAAACACAAGAAGCCGCTTTACTCAATCAAATAAATTCACGATTAAGTCAAAAGATGACAGTATACTTACATATTGATTGTTTCTCTTGAAATATTAAATCTTGAGTTACTACTCGTCATTTTTTGTTTGTCTCGGCGGTCCGTAGGACCTTTGTATATTAGTCACTGCCTTATGTACGTTGGTCGAATCTGTCAGTTCTGGTTGCCCAGAAACCAGGCAATGTCAAGGAGAGAGAGGAAGGGGTGGGGGGGAAAGGAAAAAAGAAAAAGAGCAAAGAAAACAGAAGTGTATCAGTGTATGAATACGTACATGTAATTTCTGACTTTGTACACGCATTAATCTTGAGGTGAACTATTAACAAATTTCGGTTCAAGTTTTGTTAGAGTGTAATTTTTTGTTACCTAAACGTGCGCGCTAATTTTTGATCACAGTGTGAATGTTTACGAACTTGCGCCACTGTGTAGTCCAAATCCTAAATTAAAACCAACGCGCCAAGGGAAACTGTGAGGATTATAATTTTAGTCTCAAATCAAAAAACGTGGTTGCGTCAAATAACGAAGGTTGGTATCTAGGAAAAAGGACCAAGTTCCTCAAAAAAATGTACAAAATTAAAACAAACTCTAATCTGGCAACTTATTCATGATTGTTATGACAAAATTGACAGCAAATTTTACGGTTTCAGGGTCCAGCTTCTTCAAGGTTGAAAAATTGTTCAATTTCTTGGATCGTGTAAGGTCTTATAAAGCGCTCGGTGTAAACGACCTGGTACGAGTACTGCGCAGTCTCTTAGTACGCAGGTGTGTTAACTTTCGGAACATCACAATTTTAATATCCACGGTGTATAAAATACTCATGACGCTTAGGATTTACGTCAATGCAAGCCCTACATAACAGTAACAAGCTATACAGACATACCACGGTTTTTAAATTCACGCTTTTCATTTCATTCGGTGATATTAGCCTCGCAAAGCAACAAAAAATCGCCTGCCATAAGTACTCTGTGTAGCCTGGCGTTCAACTAGTTCCATATTACTAAAGCATTATTGCAAACAATGTGGATTAGACGGTGCAAACAAATTAAAGCGAACCTTGCCATCTAGCCAGTGTTTGCCTTCAGTTCTGTTAGAAACCATAGTGTCCTGCAGCTTAAGTGCCGGATTGGTAATCTTTACATGCGTCCTTTCCACAATTGGGTTATCATCCCCTAATGGATATACTGAATACTCCGACTTAGTTCCCGGATTCGTTAATGTATTAGGTCAGGTGTTCTTTGAACTTTGATCCGTACCATAGTGATTGTAACGTGGTAAAGGTGGACTGTATTGAGTGCTTCTATGTTGTGAACACTTACTCTAGTTAATTGGTAACTTTATTCTCAACAAACATTGAAGAATTCTGCTTACAATTTTTATGTGTGTGTGTATTGTTTCGCGGAGGGCAAATGAAAGAGAGGGAGGCCGGTCGGCCTGGCTCGACGTTGTCACGTTGTTCCGGTCTTCGGATATCTTCTGGTTCTCAACAGTGATTATTCCCACGAAATACGAATGGTTCTGAAGATAATAAATTTAAGGGTCTTACAATTAGGTCGATGTTGGAGTGGAATCTGTCTGCAAGCTATTACAAGTCATTTTTATCTGTAATCAATAGCCTTTCTATTTGGAATAGGCTAAAAAAAACAATAAATTTATTCCCGGATTTTACAAACATAACTAAAACAAACATACGTAAATAAACTGCAAATACCCACAGAAGTAGAAGAACTAGTTCGTGTGCATGGGGTTAAATTACTTAAGACGTATAAAAATCTTTACATAACTATACATATATATATATATATATATACAGGGTGTTCCATAATTATTGCGACAAAATGATAGGGGTTGTAGAGGGCATAAAAATATGCAATTTTGCCTTATAAACCCCTGTTCGTAAATATGCCGTTTGAGCACTACAGTTAATTTTACCTTAAGAGCTCATAGGAGAAACAAAAAATTCACCAGCTGCAAAATGTTCGTCTAGCACATTTCATGGTCTCGCCGGTTTGTAGAAAAACCCTGCTGTGTTTACATTTTTGTTATCGTACACCCGTACCACCTTTTAAAAGTCCAAGCCATGGGTCCAGCAGACTATCTGCCGCGTCGACGTTTTTGTCGTTGGTGGCTGCAGCAGGAGTTGAGGCAACCAAACTTTGGTCGCTACGTTTTGTTCACTGACGAGTCCTGTTTTACAAAGGACGGTTATTTTAATAGCCGTAACAGTCACATTTGGGATGAAGAAAACCCTCATGCCATAGCCATCCATAGAGACCAACATCAGTTTTCAATTAACATCTGGTGCGGCATTGTGGACGAGCATATCATCGGGCCATATCTGCTTCCACCACGTTTGGATGGGCATGCTTATGGTCGATCCTTACAGCATGTGCTACCGGAACTATTAGAAAATGTGCCACTGAATATAAGAGCCAACATGTGGTTTCAACACCATGGCGTTCCAGACCACTTTTCTTTACAAGTGCGGCAGTATTTGGACGACAAATTTCCAAATAGGTGGATAGGCCGAGGTGGCCCTGTGCCTTGGCCTGCGCGGTCACTTGACCTGACTCCACTGGATTATTTTATCTGGAGCTATCTGAAAGCTTTAGTGTACGAAACTCCTGTTCCCAACCAACAAGAGCTACTGGGAAGAGTGATGGCCGCGTCCGCACATGTTCAGGACATACCGGGGGTATGCCACAGAGTTCGCCGATCATTGAACAATCGTGCACAGGTGTGTATTGAGCAAGGTGGAGGACACTTTGAGCAATTACTGTAGGTAAGCTGTTTCAAGAAACTGATCTTTTTTTTTTGCTGCAGCCCAAACGGCATGTTTCCGAACAGGGGTTTATAAGGAAAAATTGTTCATTTTGATGCCCTCTACAACCCCTATCATTTTGTCGCAATAATTATGGAACACCCTGTATATATATATTGTGGAATCATCAGGTGGCTAACTATGTAATTTTTAACTTTCGTTTTATATATTTTAAATCCGTTTTAATTTGTTCTTGACATACAGCTGTGTATAGTTTGTATTAATTTTGACGATTTTACCATGTATCCAGCTTTCACCAGGTTACTGGGTATTTCCCTCAACCTAAACGTAAATAACATTTAGCAACATCCTCACATACTACTCTCCTGATGATGATGGCAAAGAACATTGAAAGCTAGAGAGATTAATAAAGTATAAAGAGTCCACTTTGCTTAAATTTTGTCGAAGTACCCAACAAAAGGCGGAAGCTTTAATTTTTTACCTATATATATATATATATATAACATTTAGCAACATCCTCACATACTACTCTCCTGATGATGATGGCAAAGACAATTGAAAGCTAGAGAGATTAATAAAGTATAAAGAGTCCTTTTTGCTTAAATTTTGTCGAAGTACCCAACAAAAGGCGGCAGCTTTAATTTTTCACCTATATATACAGGGTGTTCGCAAAGTTGGGGTTTTCCTTTTCAGAAACAACTACCCTTGAAATAACAAAGGTAATGTGTAGTGAAACGAGGGCGACCAAGTAAAAAAAAATAAAGGAAAAAGTACTCACTCGCCAGTTGACGAGAAGGGCTAAGTAAGTCTCTGCCCGAAATCATACCGCTCCAACAGAAAATGAAATCAGCTTATGCGCTACCGAGCAGACGCACCATGCCAGCCCAAACATTCACCGAAAATGTTTGTTGAAAATGTGCCCGACGGACAGCGTGAGGATTTTCTACTGACCAAACATGAGTGTTGTGAAAGTTATGCACCCCATTACGCGTGAACGTAGATTCGTCTGTCACCAATATGCACTTCAAAAAGTCCAGATTATTGTCATGTTGATGCAACAACCACTCACAAAACGGCAGTCTTGCTGGAAAATCGTCAGGTTGAAGGGCTTGTACACGTTGGACGTGAAACGGATACAGCCCCCCTTCACGCAGCAGTTGCCACACTTTAGTTTTTGATACTTGCACTTCTCTAGCCACGTCTCTAGTGCTTGTTGAGTAATTCTCGTCTACGTGATTACCTCGCGTGACCGTAACCATCGGTTGAAGGTTGCATACTGACCTGACACAGTGACCCCGACCCAGTTCTGTCGTCTGGTGGAGCCAGTGACATTGCACCACTCCGTGATGTCGCGGCTACAGGACGGTATTCAGATATTTTTGATGTTGCAGAGCCCTTTATCTCGGTTCCCTTAAGACATTGGTGTATATGGTACTAAGAAAAATTGATTATGTTTTCAAGATCTACACGTCGTGTAAAGGAAAACACCAACTTTGCGGACACCCTGTATAAATATATATATATATATATAAAGAGAATATGATCAAGCGGAGAAAGGTATATAACAACAAGTGCAAAATCCGCAAAAAGGAGGAAAGTGGATTCGAGCAGAAAATAGGATAGGTAACCCGAGCGATACGTATTCCTGCTGGTTGGCTTCATCAGGCCCGAAATGAATGCACATATGAAACTACAAAAGTAGATACACATGCCCACACATCCGGATACGGGTGTAACCTGAGGAAACGAAGTTGGATGGGGAAAAACGACACACGAAGTCCACAACAAGAGCCAACCTACACATTGTAGTATAAAATGGCTATACGACCTCGAATTTTCAAGGAGACGTCTAACCACAACCACGCGGCCGGTTATAGCCACTTGCTGTGGTACTTCAAGCCCAAAGGATCTACAAGGAGACATATATATATATATATATATATATATATATATATACATATACAATGTATTTGGTCACGACATACCGATATTTAACAGGGGCCTCTTGAAATGGCAGCCATTTTTATTTTTACTTTACAATTACGGTAGTGCATGTATGAAAATTGTAATAACTGAGTACTTAATTGTTACAGAATGATAAATTTGGTGCCATTTGAGCGATAACATGCTGACTAAGCGACTGCTGAAAAACTTGTTTTGATACTAACCGTCAAAAATACTTAGAAACAGTCAAACACAGAAAAAATGTGGAAGAAGGTTGATTATTTTGTGCATTTCCGCACACCATTCAAAAAAGAGCCTGTGAAGTTGTACCTTTTTTGTGCTAATTCTACAGCTTTTTGTTATCCCAAGTATTCTACGTTAAGCAATAAATGCTATCTAGCATGGGTCAAAACTTTATGTGCATAAAAATGACATATCAATGTTTCTTATAGAGAGTTTGGACATGTTTAATTTTACAGAAGCTGTTCAAAATGTCCTCCATTATAGGTTATGCACATTGTTGTTCTTAAAACAATGTGTCGTGTTGAGCGGCAGACCATATCCGTAACAGCCCTAATTTCGTTCGCAGCAGTATGGATCCATTTCAAGGGGGGTGAGGTATGACATTGTAGGGGGTGGATTTGTCTATAAAAATAGCTGAAAAATATCCCCCTCAAATATCGGTATGTCGGTGATATATAAATATATGTATATATACAAGTTATGTACCAGTCTACAGAGAAGAATATGCTGAACAAGGACTTTTGCCTCCACGTGCCTTTCTTATCAGTTACAGTATTGTATTTCATTTGTTCTTTACTTTGGTTTGTATAATGAACTTTGCAGTCAGTCTCGATTCAGAACTCATTCAATTAATATCATTGTATTTGGTCTTTCTCAAAAATAAATCTTTTTAAAAACGTTTTCGTTGAAGAAAGATATTTGAGTGGCGCAGTCAAAGCAGTAGGATAGTCAGACGAAAAAAGGGACATTTTTCGGTTCGTTTCAACGGTTTACTGGCTATAACGAAACCAACCGCGATTGGTCGCGAACGATCCGACGGAATATCGATATCGTTACCGTGATCACCGGAACCAGATTTGGGATAGAACCCTACCCAAATCGAGAAACCAAGACGACAGCAGCCCAGAGGACAGAAGGAACATCTGCTCCAGGACAGGCAACCCAGCAGTGGCCCAGGCATACGGACACATGGGACGGATTGGATTACTACTGTAAGTACGAATGTCTTACAGGGGTGAAAACAACCAAAAGCTGTTTGATGATATATTGAGTGACACTGATTCGGACTCACAGTCGGATACGGAACATATCCAACATAGTTTAAGGAATTTGCAATTAAGACCTAGTATACTAAATAGTACAGTCAATATGAACAACAGTCAAGTAAATCAATCAAGCATGTCATTACGCCCATAGTATCTTAACATGATACCCGAATTTTATGGTAAACAAGAATTATTACCAAGATTCATAGATATTTGCGAAAAGTTAGTGAATAAATTTTATAGATTAGAGGATGAAAATGACTTCCAGAACGAATATCTTATGAGTAGTATTTTAGCGAAAATCAAAGGTAATGCAGCTTTAAATATTAGTAGCAATATTATAAAAAATTGGACAGACTTGAAAACTGCACTTTTAAATACATATCAAGACAAGCGTGACGTATTTACTCTAAATATAGAATTGTGTGAATTGAAACAGAACAATGAAACCCCCTTTGAATTTTATAACAAAGTTCAGAGTTTATTGAATTTACAAATATCATTTTTAACTACACATTGTGTGAGTGAAGAAGCTCAGATAATATGTAATTTTTGCAAAAGCGTAGCATTAAGAGTATTTCTAAAAGGTTTAAAGGAACCTCTAGGATCGCTCATGAGGACGAAAAATCCTACAGACTTGAATGAAGCTCTGAATATATTAACTAACGACTTTCAGCTTGATCATAAGATAGATAAACATAAAAATGTTAATCGAAATAATATGCATATGGCGAACTACCATATGAACAACAACTTTGGTAATTATAGGAATCAATACCAAGCGGTACAGCGTCCAGTATTACAAAGACAATTTAGTCCTAATAATGTACGACCAAATAATCCTAATCAGAATAGAACGAATTTTCACAATAATAGCGTTTTTAGACCTAATCAGATCAATAATCTGCCAAGGCCTACTCCGATGAGTACATCCACTAGACAGACGTATCAGCAACCAAATTTTCAAGGTAGAAATTTTAACAGACCTGGTGTAAACGCAGAACAGGCTATGTTTAACTTGTGTCTACAAGACCATCCTGTTGTAGAATTTCCAAATGATGACAATTACGAATGCGCTTATTCTCAGAATAATTCTGACGATTTTTTATGGCAAGAAGCCTCGGTACAGATACAACCACAAGTCTCAACGGACCACCCAAGTCAATAGAAATTATGAGTTTAACCGACAAATGTAGCAAACTACCATACATTGTATTTCCGGAGTATAATCTCAAAGTATTGATTGACACTGGAAGTACAAAATCTTTCATACACCCTGAAATTGCGAAAAAATTATTTTCAAGACATATTCAAAAAGACCCATTTCAAATCACTTCAGCACATGGTTCATCTATCGAGCAATATAGTATGACAATACCTTGTCCAAAGATTTTTAAGAATCCAAATATTCTCATGAAATTTCATTTATTCAAGTTTCACGAACATTTCCAATGCCTTTTAGGACTCGATAACCTGAAAGAGATATTGAATGCCAACATTGATTTGAGCAATGATCTTTTAGTCACACCCACAACAAGAATACCCATGCAATATCACGAGATTACAAAAAATTCTTCTAATATTATCACTATTCCACCTAGAACAGAACAGATAATTCAGGTTAAGATAAAAAATTTAAAAAATGGTAATGCTATTATTCCATACAGAAAATTATCATGTTTAGAAATCCCTGAATGTCTTACTA